AGGTGCTTGTCCAGTCTCCTCTTGAAGACCCCCAAGGTAGGGGAGAGCACCACCTCCCTTGGAAGCCCATTCCAGATTCTGGCAACACTTACTGTGAAGAAGTTCTTCCTAATATCCAACCTAAGTCTGCTCTCCATCAATTTATAACTGTTGTTCCTAGTTACTCCAGGGGGTGCCCTAGTAAATAGGAGATGCTCTACTGCCTATAATTTCATCAAGAGAGGGTAGCAGGGAACCACAAGGTCACCTCTCAGCCTTCTATTATGAAGGCTGAAGAGATCTAGGTCCCTCAGTCTCTCCTCATAAGGCCTTGCCTCCTCTGAACCCTCTTAAGATTCTCACCATCCCTCTTGAAGTGAGGTGCCCAAAACTGGACACAGTACTCCAACTATAGCCTGACCAGTGCCACATAGAGGGGAAGTATCACCTCCCTGGACCTGTTCGTCATGCATCTGCTAATGCATGATAAAGTGCAGTTAGCCTTGTTGATCACTTCATCACACTGACAACTCATGTTCATCTTGGAGTCAACTACGACTGCTTTCCAGCTGCTATGCTGCTGAGAAGGTCCTCTCCCACCCTTTAAGTGTGTTGGAGGTTCTTTTTGCCCCGGTGTAGTACTCTGCACTTGTCTTTGTTGAACTGGATCCTATTTCATTCTGCCCATTTTTCCAACCTGTCCAGATCTGCCTGGATCCGTTCCCTACCCGCTGGTGTGTTAACTTTGCCCCAAAATTTGCTATCATCTGCAAACCTAAACAGGGCGCTCTCCACACCCTCACGTAAGTCACCAATGAAGACACTGAATAGCACCAATCCAAGGACCAAGCCTTGCAGGACTCCACTGCCCACATCTTTCCAGGTCAGTTTCATAGTTGGTAGGGTTGGAAGGGACCTGAGCAGATCATCAAGTCCAACCCCCTGCCATGGGCAGGAAAGAAGGTTGGGGGTCAAACAACCCCAGCTAGCTGATTATCTAGCCTCCTTTTGAAGACCGCCAGGGTAGAAGCGAGCACTACTTCCCTTGGAAGTTGCTTCCAGATCCTAGCCACTCTGACTGTGAAATAGTGCCTCCTGATATCTAGCTTGAATCTACTCTCAGTCAACTTATGGCCGTTATTTCCTTGTTACTCCAGGTAGTGCTCGGGGGAACAGCAACTCTCCCATTGCCTGCTGGTCTCCCTTGGCCAGTTTATAGACAGCTACCAGATCCCCCTCTGAGCCTTCTCTCTTGGAGGCTGAACAGGTTCAGGTCTCGTAACGTCTCCTCATAGGGCCTGCCCTGCTGCCCCCGATCTATAATGACTCCAAGATCCTTTTCTGCCTCTGTGCTGATGAGAAGGGAGTTCCCCAGCCTGTAGGTATGCTGCTGGTTCTCTCCCTAGGTGCGGTACCTTGCACTTGTCAGTATTGAATCCCATCTTGTTCTCATCCGCCCACCCCTGTAACCTGTCCAGATCCAATTGCAGCCTGTCCCTC